TCTCCCTCTCCTTCTCCCTCTGCCCCTCCCCCCACTCACGTGCGTATGTGCTCTCTCTCTAAAAATAAATGCATCTTTCTTTTTTTTTTAAAGATTTTATTTATTTGACAGAGAGAGACACAGCGGAGAGAGGGAACACAAGCAGGAGGAGTGGGAGAGGGAGAAGCAGGCTTCCCGCGGAGCAGGGAGCCTCATGCGGGGCCCAATACCCTGGGATCATGACCTGAGCTGAAGGCAGACGCTTAATGACTAAGCCACCTAGGCACCCCAAAATAAATGCATCTTAAAAAAAAAAAAAAAGCACAGGGACACCTGGGTGGCTCAGTCGTTAAGCGTCTGCCTTCAGCTCAGGTCATGATCCCGGAGTCCTGGGATCGAGCCCCGCATCAGGCTCCCTGCTCCGTGGGAAGCCTGCTTCTCCCTCTCCCACTCCCCCCTGCTTGTGTTCCCTCTCTCACTGTGTCTCTCTCTGTCAAATAAATAAATAAAATCTCCAAAAAAATAAAAAAATAAAATAAAAAAAATTTTTAAAAAAGCACAGATGATGGTTAGCATTTTTAAACAATAAAGTATTTTTTAAAGTATTACATTGTTTTTAGACACCTAATAGATCATAGTATAGTGCAAACATAACTTTTAGATACACTGGGAAATCAAAAATTCATTTGTCTCATGTTACTGTAATACTTGCTTTACTGTGGTAGTCTTCAACCAAACCCACAGTATCTTCAAGGCATGCTTGTCTACCAGGTTTTGTACTACATGCTTTACTTATATTATCTCATTTAATCCTTATGACAAGCATAAACATTATTATTTACTTCAGTTCAGCAAGAATTTAGACAGGTTCAGTGGCATGTTCAAAGTCACACTCAGCAAGTTAAGTGTATGAACAAAGATTCTAACCAAAATAATCTGACTCCAGATTCCACTTAGACTTTTCATCTCATAGTTACTGATAGAGAAATAAATTCACAATATGTTGTAAAATAAAAAAATTGTTAAATGTAAAACTATATCTTTTTTTAAAAAAGTATGCACACACGGGGCACCTGGGTGGCTCGAGTCGTGGTCCCAGGGTCCTGGGATCAAGTCCCGCATTGGGCTCCTTGCTCAGCTGGGAGTTTGCTTCTCCCTCTCCCACTGCCCCTCCCCCCATTGTTCTCTGCCTCTCAAACAAATAAAATCTTCTAAAAAAAAGTATGCATACACATATTTGTATAGAGGTAAAAAGTATGAAGGAGGGGCGCCTGAGTGGATCAGTCATTAAGCGTCTGCCTTCGGCTCAGGTCATGGTCCCAGGAGTCCCGCATCCGGCTCCCTCCTCAGCAGGAGGCCTTCTTCTCCCTCTCCCACCCCCCTGCTTGTGTTCCCTCTCTCGCTGTGTCTCTCTGTCAAATAAAATCTTAAAAAAAAAAAGTATGAAGGAATATATTCTAAAATATGATATCTGTGCAATGAGATTATGGAGGATTTTTATTTTCTTACCTGTATTCTTCTTTTTGGCATTTTTGGCAATGAGCATGTATTACTTTTAGGGTGAGAAAGAAGCAATAAGCTCTTTTAAAACTACAGGAATCAAAATTATTTTAAGATACATACTTTCTGCCTATTTCTTTGAAAAGCTTTATTTCAGTTACAGCTCTTCTCATTCAAAAAAGGATTTAAATTGCTAAAAGATAGTTTGATCTCTTCTCAATGAAAAAGTTCACCTTTTGTATCTTTCCTAACTTCAGTGTAAATTCAGGCATATTCATGGGGCTACTGTGTAGCTCAGTCGGGTAAGCGTTGGCCTTCAGCTCCGGTCATGATCCCAGGGTCCTGGGATCGAGTCCCACATCAGGCTCCCTGCTCGGCGGGAAGCCTGCTTCTCCCTCTAATCCTCTCCCCTCTCATGCTGTTTCTCACTCTCTATTTCTCTCTCTCAATTAAATAAATAAAACCTCAAAAAAAATTAATTCAGACATATTCAATGGATTAAGCAACCAGGAATTACAAGTGTTTACCATCTTTCAAAGCATAAAATGCATAAGGGTCCTATATGAGCCCAGTTAAGCCTGCCTATAGTACACAAAATAACTTCACCATCTCTACCAACATCACATACCACTAACTCTCCATCCAGCTGATGATAAATTCTCCTAAAATTGAGTCTTCTTGATATAAACCTCTTGAAGTTCAATTTTAAAAGGTTTAAAGGTTTAAAAGGTTTTCAACAGGTCAAGTCAGACTTCTTTTTCTAACAACTGGTAGGACTCCTCCAGATGTAAGCTAGGATGCAACAAGAAGTTACTCAAGTAAGAGGATGGAAAGCTATCAGCAGAAGAGAGGAAGGAAAGGGACAAAAGCAGGGAAGGAATATGTTTTGTTTTGTAGAACCAACAGTTCCAGCCAAGGAGACATGATGTTTCACCTGGGAGCCCCTTGCTAGCTGTGTCTCCCCTGACAGCCCCTTATGTGAGCCAGTATGAGTTGGACTGGACCTGAGGAGCTGCAGAGAAGTCCCCCTGAGTTGTCCTGAAGTTACCTTTAGCTCATTATACTACCAAGATCTCCTAGAGATGGACCTCTCCACCATTTTTTTGAACTAGCACATTGACATTCTGGGCATGAGTAACTGAACTGAAGTGCTTACGTGAACTCCCTGCCCCACCCCCTAATACACTGAATAAAAGCTTCCCTATACTAACCCCACCAACAGAGAGTGCTTTGAGAGCCATATGTCTCCTTACTTGTAACAAGTAATAAAGTTCTTTGTTTTCAACACTTCCTTGGGTTTCGTTCAGTTTGATGCATCTCAAGTGGCAAACCCCTTCCTTGAGTTTGGTTACACAGATACTGTCATATTGGTAAATAACATTTTCATACATCCGGCTGATCAAACCAGAAACACTTCTTTCCATCATCCCTTATATCCAATCCCTCATTAAATTCTACTCTTTGCGGGCGCCTGGGTGGCTCAGTCGTTAAGCGTCTGCCTTCGGCTCAGGTCATGATCCCAGAGTCCTGGGATCGAGTCCCGCATCGGGCTCCCTGCTCTGCGGGAAGCCTGCTTCTCCCTCTCCCACTCCCTCTGCTTGTGTTCCTGCTCTCTCTCTCTCTGACAATAAATAAATAAATAAAATCTTTAAACAACAACAAAAAATTCTACTCTTTGTACAAAACAAAACAAACAAAAAAAGCTAACTCATTGCCTTCTTTCCATAACCATTGCTTCCGCTGTAGTGGCGCATTATCCCCCTCCTGGATTACTGCAATAACATCCTTAACTGAAAACACTTCTACTTTTGCCCTTCTACATTCTCCACAGAAGCCAGAGTGATCTACTGAAAATGTAAATCTGATCACAGATTTCTGTGCTTAAAAACATCCAATGGTTCCCAATACACTTAAAATGAAATCCGAAGTTCCTTATTAGGGGCACCTGTGGCTCAGTCGGATAGGTGGACCGTTAAGCGTCTGCCTTCGGCTCAGGTCATGATCCCAGGGTCTTGGGATGGAGCCCTGCGTTGGGATCAAGCCCTGCATTAGGGCTCCCTGCTCAGCGGGGAGTCTGCTTCTGCTTCTCCTTCTCCCTCTGCCCCCCCCATAAATATATAAAACCTTAAAAAAAAAAAAAAGGACCTTAATATAACTTCCTGTATGATCTGCCTAAGGCTTCTCCCCAATCTCATTTCTGTCATCACACCCTTTAATCACTACATTCTAGCCAGACTGGCCTTATTTTTGTTCCTCCAAGAAGCTAAGCTCTTCCCTATCTCAGGACCTCCAGATATCCTTGCATATACCTGAGATACCTGTTCACTTCCATTCACTCTTCACCTGGCTAACTCTTATTCAATTTTTCTTCATATCACCATCAAGATTCCACATTTGTTTTGTCCACCTGGCAGGCACATTACTGGTGCCCAATAAATAATCACTCATTTTCGATTATCCAGCCAGTACTAACAAAAAAACAAAACAAAACAAAAAAACCAAGACAGTGGGGTTACACAAAGAAACGTAATTATATGCTGAAACTAAAGTATTAGAAATTATCTTAAAATCTGAATATGTTCACAAACTGTTCATTTGCAAAACTGAGAACTCCAAAAAAAAAAAACAACTATCAAAATGTTGCCATAAAAAAAAAGATTTTTAGGGGCGCCTGGGTGGCTCAGTCGTTAAGCGTCTGCCTTGGGCTCAGGTCATGATCCCAGGGTTCTGGGATCGAGCCCCGCATCAGGCTCCCTGCTCCGCGGGAAGCCTGCTTCTCCCTCTCCCACTCCCCCTGCTTGTGTTCCCTCTCTCGCTGTGTCTCTCTCTCAAATAAATAAATAAAATCTTTAAAAAAGATTTTTAAATGAACCAAGGATAAAACATTGTCACAAGTGATTACTCCTGAAAGAAGATAATTAAAAACCCTGGGAATGATGTTTTTCTGCCCTATTTTTTGCTCTATGAAAAAATGGGAAAGAGGCTAAATACAAAGAGTAACGCAAGCATTCAATAACTTAAAAATATGTTTATTAGTCTTTTCTGGCAAGGAAGGAAGGAAAGAAAGAAAATTCGTGGTATTCAAATTATTACAACATGTTTGAGTTAAATTCCATTTAAAAAGGAAAGAAAGTAGTGGGTATCGGGGTTGTTACAGTAAATCCCTGGAGAGGCGATAAGATGGAAAGAAAACATTACTTGCTCCCTTTACATCTAAGGCAAAGGCGTTTCCATCCTCACTCCGCACCCCGCACCCCAGAATGTCCGGCACTGAACAAAGCCTAATGGATTCTCTAGTAAAAATTCCACACTATCAACTCGATAAACCAGCGTCTCCATCATATCGATCCCTGCTACATCGTCCGCCTTTCACTCTCAGCGTAGCCGCTGATCTCTTCTCAACCCTAGGACTCGCTTTGGGTTGATCGCTTCCCTCCCAGGATCCCAAACGAGAAACCGCTTCTACGAAACGCAAACGGCAAACAGGAGGGGCGAAAAAAAGGACCGGACGCCAGACTCACCTGGGGCTGCACCGTACTCGACAGGGAAAACATCTCCGGGCCCTCAGCGACCTCACCCGCCTGCCGAAAGTGCCCCTCTGTCCACGGCTCGCCGGGGAGGTGCTGAGCCCTTCTTCCCTTTTCCTTTCCCCTCTCCCCGTAGCTCTCACTCTTCCTAGAAACAGAAAATGGCCTCCCCTTCTCACAGCTGCGGCTACAACAGACAATCTGCCCCGGAAGGCAAGGCTCCAAGGCAACGCTACTTCCGGGGCAGGTGGGCAAGGCAGGGGAATACGCCGGGGGCTCCCCCTTTCCCCGACTGACGTATCTACTGCAGCAGCTGAGGCACCCTGGCCCGCAAGCTAGTTGATGTTCACGTTGACTAATACAAGCGCGGGATCCCCAAGCTCTCTGGTCTTATTTTTTTTTAAGGGGGGACGGCATTGACCCTGTTAAATCTTTGTACACTAACTTATCAAATCTTCCAATACATTCCTCTTTTCCGACTGGGCCTTGAGGCACGATAAACTCTTTTGCTACTATTTGGTGCTCTTTATCTTCCCCACAGTAAATCGAAAATTCCTCCTGTTGGTCCTAATCCGCTTCAGTCAGGCAAATTACATCCTGTTTATATGTCAGATGGCAGGGCCAGCCACGGACTTCCTGCTCATCCAGCTTTTCCACATTCTCTGATTTCCACTAGCCAGACCGAAGTGGCTTACATTTCTCGCGAGGGTGCGAAGTCGCGAAGGAGTAAAAAACAGACAAAACAAAACAAAGCAAAAGTGAGAGGAGGGCAGGGTCCCACCAACCTCAATTGGAGGTCAGGAGAAACCTCAATTCTGCGATTGAGATTCAAGTCCGAGCAGTAGCCCCTTTCTCTTGTAGGCCAAAGACTCTGTACCTCCTCCATTATTACAAATGAAATAATAGGGCCGCTGTCACCGCCCTCGAAGAGTCTGAGTTTGGTTGGAGAATTTCCCAACGTCCCCGCCCTCACCGCCATTGGGTACTTCCGCGCGGAGGAACAGGAGGTGCCCGGGCGGGACTGCGCTGGGCTCCGCGCGGCGAGCGCGGCAACGCGATGACGTCACTGACGACGGACTGCGTGGGCGGGGTCTTACTTTGAACCCGGTTGGCGGGAGTTGTGGCTCGGAAAGGGCCTTAGCTGATGCTGCCGGCTTCCGTCTGGGCTGGCGTACGATGGAGCCCACTGCGGGGAGCGAGAAGGAGAGTGAAGGAGACGCGATGACGGGGAAGTGCGTGAATAGGATCCTGGTGCCAAGACCTCCCTCCATTGAGGAGTTCACCATAGTGAAGCCCATTAGCCGTGGCGCCTTTGGGAAGGTGTATCTCGGGCAGAAAGGCAGCAGGTTGTATGCTGTGAAGGTAAGAAGTCGGGGAGTAAAGAAAGGGAAAGAGTCCGGACCTTCGGCCCTCTTTCCTGCCCCCGAATTGGGCAGGCCCCAGGGCCATAGGAGCCTTTATAGCCCTGTGATATGACTTCTTTCTTGGGGTGACAAGATCGCCGGCAGGCTGGGTTGTCTCGCCTCTGCCCCACCCTTCTTTTCACACCGCCAATGCCTAGGATACGCCAGGATTTCTGAATCCTTTTTACCACCTTGACCTTGACCGGGATTAAGTTGGAAACATTAAATTTGAAACAATTAGTTTTTTTAAGATTTTATTTATTTATTTATTTGACAGAGAGAGAGAGAGAGCGAGAGAGGGAACACAAGCAGGGGGAGTGCGAGAGGGAGAAGCAGGCTTCCTGCCGAGCAGGGAGCCCAATGCGGTGCTCGATCCCAGGACTGGAATCATGACCTGAGCTGAAGGCAGTCGCTTAACCAACTGAGCCTCTCAGGCGCCCCTGAAACAATTAAAGACTAAACTGAAACATGTTAGAACGTGTCACTCCTTTATCCTTGCAGCAGTATATAATAACATTACAAAAGCACTCAAGAGCTTTCAATGTATTTTGAGGCTCTTCTGGCCACTCTTGGTCCTCAACCACTCCATAGTTTCAGGTTACTCTTATTTCAGCACTGAGTGAACATGATAAAGGAAAGAAGCCAGCAGTCTGAGCGCTGATGCAGTTTCAACTTTCTGTTCAACATTGCTATGTGAACATCTACCAGGTATCTTGGAATTGTACTTGCCTCACATTGCCTGCTTCAACACTGAATCTTCTGTATTCCCTCTCTCCGTTTAATAAAATCACTTTCATCACTGTCATTCAGCCTAGAAACTTGAATCATTTTAACTTTACTTCATCTATATAACCAATGTCTCAACTAGTCCTGTCAGTTCTGTCTCATATTTCTTATTATCTCTTCCATTCCATTCCCAAGACTATCCAAATACAGGACTTCATTTTTTCTTTCTTTTGTTTTTTTCCTACTCCCTCCCTCCCCTTTTCCCTCCCTCCCTTCCTTTTTAAAAGTACAAGTCAATTTTTGGTAAATTAAAGATTGGGTAACTATCAACACAATCCAATTTTAGAACATATCCATCACCCTAAAAAGATCTCCTGCCTGTCTGCAGTACCTCCCTCTAACACCCCTAGCCCCAGGATACCAGCAATCTACTTTCTATCTTTATAGGTTTGCCTTTTCTCTACATCGCATGTAGATGGAATCATGCAGCATATAGTCTTTTGCATTTGGGTTTTTTGTTTTTTGTTTTTACTGGACAGCATTTTTGAGATTCATCAAGCCTTCATTTACATACCTAGTCTATTGGAATAGGCCTCTAAATAGAATCCCTAATTTTTTCATCCCCTCCTTAGGCTGTGGCTTGCAAGCTAAAGTCCCAACTCCTTAGAAAAGCAATCATAGGGCGCCAAAGTGGCTCAGTCGGTTGAGCGTCTGCCTTCGGCTCAGGTCTTGATCCCGGGAATCCCACATCGCTTGGCTCCTCTTCAAACCTTACCTGACCTTTCAGACCCACTCCATTGAAATTAATTCTTCCTTGATTCATATGTTCCACCAATTTTTTGCTTTTCCTTCTACAATACTTCCTAATCAGTCATTATCAGTTGTTGAAATAAAAACACCAATTCATTTTTTCGATGAATATTTGTTGAGTATGCCCTTTGTGTTTAGGATCTAGGGTGCAGTGGTGAACAAAATAAACATGCCTTCACAGAACTTCCAATCTAGTGAAATGATAGGTGAAATCATGTTACAGACTGACTTTTGACAATTTCCCTCAATTTTCTTATGGAAGGATATAAGGCTGGAATTTATAGTGTATTAATTATACACATTAATATTGATTTTATTACTCTAATGAGTCTCTGGAAGCAATATGTCTTTTAATCATCCTGACAATTGATCTCAATGTTACTGACTTCAGTTTAGTGCCCCAATTTTAATATAGATTATATTACAGTTTTGCTTCTGTACCAATTACCTTGATATTTGAAAAGAGTAATTTGTTATTTTCTGTAAGACAGCATTTGAGACTGTTAACTTTCAGTAGTTTTAACTATTAAGATTTTTTTCTAGGCAAACAAACTTCCTATATTCTTCCTCTTTCTGACTCAGTTCCCATCCATCAAAGAATCAGAAGTTAAAGAAAATTTATTAGCTGCAAATTATCTGTGCCTAGGTTCCTGATTATCTGGGGGCTTATTGGGAACATTACCACCTTTGAATTTGTTATAAGAATAGTAGAATGGAATTTTTTTTCTACTAATATGTAGAGCACTAGGGAAGCATTTGTTTACTTCTTTTTTCCTTCTCAAAAGGGATGTGATACTTTTGCCACTTGATGCTAAAATAAGTAGTTCTCTTAAAGAAAGTTTAGTTTTGTTTTACCATATTAGCTGTTTTTCTGACAGTTTCCTGAGGGCAATGACAATGACATCTATGTTTTCTCTCTCTGGTTGTTTTCACAAAGGCAACTCTGAAACCTGAAAACACTTTTGTAATAAAAAATAAAATGAACGTACTGTTATGTTGTCTACCATAGGTTGTCAAAAAAGCAGATAAGATCAACAAAAATATGACTCATCAGGTACAAGCTGAGAGGGATGCACTAGCACTGAGCAAAAGTCCTTTCATTGTCCATTTGTATTATTCACTACAGTCAGCAAACAATGTCTACTTGGTAAGTAAATAATTTTACATTTTTTTCTTTACACATTAGCAATCACTGAATTCATTGACTTAAGAATACAATTGGGGAGGGTGGCACTTGGCTGGCTCAGCCAGTAGAGCATGCAATTGTTTGATCTCAGGGTTGTGAATTCAAGCCCCACATTGGGTGTAGAGATTACTTAAAAATAAATCTTTAAGGGGTGCCTGGGTGGCTCAGTTGGTTGAGCGTCTGCCTTTGGCTCCGGTCATGATCCCGGGGTCCTGCGATTGAGCCCCACATTGGGCTCTCTGCTCACTGGAGAGCCTGCTTCTCCCTCTCCCTCTGCCTGCCACTCCCCCTGCTTGTGCTCTCTCTCTCCCTTTATCTCTCTGTCAAATAAATAAATAAAATCTTTTTTAAAAAGTAAATAAAAATTTAAAAATATATATAATTAAAAAAAAAAAAAGAATATAGTCTCTGGGTTTAGAGTACTTAGGTTTGAATTACAACTTTTGCACTTACTATCTTTATGACTTTGGCCAAGTTCCCGTACCTGTTGTATGGGCCAGGGTTCTCTGGAGAAAAAGAACTAATAGAGTGTGTGTGTGTGTGTGTGTGTGTGTGTGTGTGTGTGTGTAGGGTGGGGATTTAAGGACTTGCTCTATGTGATTGTCAGGATTGGCAAGTCTGAAATCTTGCAGGGTAAGCCAGCAGCCTGTAGACCCAGGGAAGAGTTGATGTTGTAACTCAGGTCCAAAAGCAGTGTAGAAGCAGAATTCCTTCTTCTTGGGGTGGGGTGGAGGTGGGGGCATGGAGGACAACACCTTGATCTTTTTTCTTTTAATGCCTTCAACTGACTGGATGGGGTCCACCCAGATTATGGAGGGTCATCAGCTTTTACTCAAAGTCTACCTAAATGTTAATCTCATCTAAAACACAACTTCAGGGGCGCCTGGGTGGCTCAGTCGTTAAGCGTCTGCCTTCAGTTCAGGTCATGATCCCAGGGTCCTGGGTTTGAGCCCCACATCAGGCTCCCTGCTCAGCGGGAGGCCTGCTTCTCCCTCTCCCACTCCCCTGCTTGTGTTCCCTCTCTCGTTGTGTCTCTCTCTGTCAAATAAATAAAATCTTTAAAAAAAATAAAACACAACTTCACAGCAACATTTAGGTTCATGTTTCACCAAATCTCTGAGTACGATGGATTAGCCAAATTGATACATAAAAATTAACTATCCCATAATAGTACCTACCTCAGAGGTTGT